TATCCCTCAGTCAGACCCACACTGGGAGCACCGTGCACAGTTCCTGTATCTGTATCCCTCAGTCAGACCCACACTGGGAGCACCGTGCACCGTTCCTGTCTCTATATCCCTCAGTCAGACCCACACTGGGAGCACTGTGCACAGTTCGGGTCTCTATATCCCACACCGGGAGTACCGTGCACAAACTGGGAATTCAGGAGACGTGCCTTTCCCTGGAGAGACTGGGGTGTGGTGCAATGTGGCAGTGCCTCCCACAGGGGGATGGCGTTTCAAAATGGTGACTCCAAGTATTTTGAAGTCACTGCGAGTGTGGCAGTGTCGACTAACAAACCCAGTCAATTCCAGCCCTGGAGCTGCCTCCCCTGTTCTAACCTGCTTCATCTGGTGGAACAGCCTGTTACACATACCACCCGGGAGGCAGAGCACTTTCCGTTCACAGCTTCGACATCTGTCTCTCTTTCTCTCTTTCTCTCTTCCCTCCCTCTCTCTCTCTCTCTCTCCCTCCCCCGGGAAAGTGGAACCTGTTCAGCCTGGTGCTGTGCTGGGACAGACAAGGGTGTCGTGCCTTTAAACATACTGGGAATGTCATTCCAAAATCCCATTCCAGAATTGCCAAGGTTCCACCAGAGTCATAGAGATGTACAGCACAGAAACAATCCCTTCGACCCAACGTGTCCATCCCGGCCAGATATCCTAAATTAATCCAGTCCCATTTACCAGCATTCGGCCCATATCCCTCTAAACCCTTCCTATTCATGTCCCCATCCAGATGCCTTTTAAATGTTGTAACTGTACCAGTCTCCCCACTTCCTCTGGCAGCTCGTTCCATACACGCACCACCCTCTGTGTGAAAAAGTTACCCCTTGGGTCCCTTTTAAATCTTTCCCCTCTCACCTTCAACTTATGCCCTTCAGTTTTGGACCCCCGTCCCTACCTCGGGGGAAAAGTCCTTGTCTATTCACCTTCCATGCCCCTCATGATTTTATAAACCTCTATAAGCCTCCGACGCTGCAGGGAAAATAGCCCCCAGCCTATTCCGCCTCTCCCTCCAGCTCAAACTCTCTAACCTTGGTAACATCCTTGTAAAATCTTTTCTGAACCCTTTCAGGTTTAACAAAATCTTTCCCGTAGCAGGGAAATCAGAACTGAATGCAGTATTCCAAATGTCCTGTATAGCCGCAACATGACCTTCCCAACTCCTACACTCAACGCACTGACCAAGTGTCTCAAACACCTTCACCACCCTGTCTACCTGCGACCCCCACTTTCAAGGAACTATGTACCTGCTACGTTCTCAATTCTCACTACCACCTTCTGGGGGAAAAATATTTTTCCTCACCTCCCCTCCAATGGAATCACATGTAGGCCAGATCATGTAAGGATGGCCATTTCCTTCCCTAAAGGACATTAGTGAACCAGATGGGTTTTTCCCAACAATCGACAATGGATTCACGGTCATCATTAAATTCTTAACTCCAGATATTTCATTGAATTCAAATTCCACCGTCTGCCGTGGTGGGATTAGAATCCCCAGAACATTACCTGGGTTTCTGGATTAACAGTCCAGCGATAATACCCCTAGGCCATCGCCTTCCCCAATTCTGTCTGCCTGCCCTGTCTACACCTCTCATCGTTCTATCCAACTCGGTCGTAGAGACCGGGTGCTCAGTGGTGTGGTGTAAAGACGATAATATCTCCATCGACAGCAGCAAAACCAAGGAGCTGGTCACTGCCTTCAGGAAACGGAGCAGAGGGCACGCCCCCCCCTCCCTGCCTGTGGCCCTGGCGCCGCCTGTAGCACTGAGATGGAGCGGGTCGACAAAGAGATGCAAAAGCTTAAACGCACAGACCAACAGATTGAAGATCAGCTTCTTCGCCCGCTGTTATCAGACTTCTGAACGGACCTCTCAAATATTAATTCCGATCTCTTTCTCTCTCTCTGTGTGCACCTTCTCTGCGGCTATAACACCATATTCTGCACTCTGTCCTGCTATCCTGATGCACTTTGTATGGCACAATCAGCCTGTACAGCACTCAAAACAACACTTTTCACTGTATCTCGGTACATGTGACAACAGTAAATCAAATCATATCTCCTCTGCTCTTAAGGAAAACAACACCAGTCCACGCAATATTGCTTCATCCCTGAAACTCTCCAACCATCCAGGCAACGTCCTGGTTAATCTTCTCGGCACCCTCTCCCAGTGCTATCACGACCCTCCTACAACGTAGGATACGCAACTCCAGCTTGCAGTCTAACCAACAGCTGCAGCATCACCTCCCCTGCTCCTGAACTCTGCACCTCAGCTAATAAAGGCCAGTTATCCCCACATGCCTCCATAACCACAATGGTATTACTCCCAACACCATCAGCACTTAACTCGGGCCAGATTAACCTTTTGTTGACGCTGTATCAAATGCGTCTCATCCTCCCCCCATCTTAATAGGCCAATAACAACACCATTTCCAGGGAGCTCCAAAACTCCTGGGGATGCCCGTTAGTGGAGCTGCAGTCACCTAGCAAACAACGAAGGAGGGCATCTCAGGGTTCAACGGGACGTTGAACAGATGGGTCGACGGGTCGACGGGCCGAGGAGCGGCCGACAATTTGATAAACACGAGGCGCTGCATTTTGGGGAAAGGCAAACCCGGGCAGTATTTATACACTTCATGGTAAGGTCCTGGGGAGTGTTGCTGAACAAAGAGACCTTGGGGTGCAGGTACATAGTTCCTTGAAAGTGGAGTCTCAGGTAGACAGGACGGTGAGGAAGGTGTTTGGGACGCTTGGTCAGTGCATTGAGTGTAGGAATTGGAAAGGTCATGTTGCGGCTGTACAGGACATTGGGGATAGGCCACTTCTAGAATCCTGCACACAATTCCAGTTGCCCTGCTATACGAAGGATATTGTTAAACGTGAACAGGTGCAGAAGAGATTGACTAGGATGTTACCCGAAAGTGGAGGGTTTGAGTTTCAAGGAGAGCTTGGACAGGCTGGGACTTTATCGCCCTAGAGCATCGGAAGCTGAGGCGTGACCTTTTAGAGGTTTACAACATCACGATGGGGAAGGATAAGGTAAATAGACAAGGTCAATACAACATGGAGCTGGGGGAATACAGGAGGGTCAGGTGGCATCGGAGGAGCAGGAAAGTTGATGTCTCGGGTTTACACCCTTCATCTTCTGAAACGTCAACTTTCCTGTTCCTCTGATGCCGCCTGACCTCCTGTGTTCCCCCAGCTCCTGCAGTTCTTGCTAGCTCTGAATAGAGATGGTCCTTTTCCCCAGCGTGGTCAAGTCTAAAGCTGGAGGAGCATAGGTTTAAGGTGAGAGGGGGAAAGGGACCAGAGGGGTAACTTTTTCACACAGAGGGTGGCGCACGTATGGAACGAACTGCCAGAGGAAGTGGTGGTGGCTGGTACAGTTACAACATTTAAAAGGCATCCGGATGGGGACGTGAATGGGAAAGGTTTAGAGGGATGCAGGCAAATGGGACTATAGTTTGGGAACCCAGTTGGCGTGGACGGGATGGTTGGTTGGATGGAAGGGTCTGTTCCCATGCTGTATGACTCTGTGATCCATCCTAGCCTGCCTACTACCCCTGCTTTCGGGAATAGCCATGTCACATTTGTTAACTTCCAATTCGCTGGGGCTGTGTAGGATCATTACAGTGGCAAGGGCAGTGCTTCCATGCACTTTGTAACTACCTCTCTTGTGAACCTAAGGATGTAGGCCATTAGGGTTTGCCATTTCTAGACCCCTACTTTTGACCAATTATTTTTTACTCTTACCCATATTTGATACTGATCACTCCAAGTTATAGAGTCATACAGCACAGAAACAGACCCTTCGGCCCAACCAGTCCGTGCTGACCATAATCCCAAACCAGTCCCTCTGGCCTGCTCCTGGCCCCTATCCCTCCAGAACTTTCCTATTCATGTACTTATCCAAATGTCCCTTTAAACGTTGTAACTGTACCCACACCCACCACTTCCTATGGAAGTTCATTCCACACGTGAAAAGTTCCTCACTTTTATAAGCTTTTTCATGCTCTAGTTGTGCTGTAGAATTGAAATAAAATTGCAACAACATACACAAATTGACTTCCCTGCCTCCCCCCCCACCCCCACAATCATTGATCATGCTTATCTCAAAGATGCCATCGCTTCCTTCAGTTACTCCCCTCTGTTATTTAAAACAAAATATTCGGAAAGGCTCTTACAACCTGTGCTCAACTGATCCAGGCGGGCAAAATGCAGAGTGGTGTCTGCCTTCTCTACTGCTCCCCCCACCACAATCATTGCTCCTGCCATCATTTCCTTTAGCTACTCTCCTCCTTCATCAAAACAAATAACATTTGGAAGGCCCCTTACAACCTGTGCTCAACCGGCCCAGCCGGGCAAAATGCAGAATGGCGTCTGTCTTCTCTGCCATTCCCCCACACCCGACCCCCAACAAATATTGCTCCTGCTTGTCTCAAAGATGCCATCATTTCCTTTAGCTACTCTCCTCCTTTATCAAAATAGATAATATTTGGACGGGCTGTCACAACCGGTGCTCAGCAAAACTCAGAATAGTGTCCGACACTGCGATGTGACGCCTCTAATTGGGTAGTACTTGCTGCTCAATCCCATATGTGGCAAGAATTGAGAGAAATAAGCAATACAGGATGACCTGCCAGCCTTTCAACACAGCCTGCTTACACGATTTGGAAGCACATACATGGATAACTGGGGCCTGGCCCCTCTGCAGGTGAAAGGAATTTGTCCAGGCATGAAGTGCACCCAATGATAAAGAAAATCCGAGGGCACCCCATTCGTCGCTGGATTTCCCACGGCATGCCTCAACGATAGTTGACCTACCTCTTACTGAATTTAAACAAACGCTTTTTGTGCTAATTGGTGCACGCTGCTCTCTCCATGAACAATGCCTCAACTAAGTGCACCTGCCACCGGTGGGGGGGACGTTTACTGGCCGGGACAGAGTTTTTAGCCCAACCCCAGGTACCCTCGGAGGTGGTGGTGGTTGTGGGGTGAGCTGCCTTCATTCCGCAGTCTGTTTGGCATGGGGACACCCTCTGGGCTGTTCAGGGCATCCCCAGGATTTGGACCCAGCGGCCCTGAAGGAAGGGCCGATATATGTTTCCGAGTCAGGACGGGTAGGGGAACAGGGAGGGGAGGGGAGGGGAGGGTGGTGGTGGTGTTCCCCACATATCTGTTGCCCCTTGTCCTGGATGGAAGTGGGCCGTGGGGTTTGGAAGGTGCTGCCTGAGGGTCTCTGGTGAATGCCTGCAGGGCATCTTGTAGCTGGTACACACTGCTGCGACTGAGTAGGGCGGAGGGGAGGAGAAGGAAGGAGTGGACGTTTGTGGATGCGGGGCCAATCAAGTGGGCTGCTTCGTCCTGGATGGTGTGGAGTTTCGAGCGCTGTCGGAGCTGCCCCGTCCAGGGCAAGTGGGGAGTATTCCGTCACACTCCTGCCTTGTCGATGGTGGGACAGGCTTTTGGGTGGGGGTGGGGGGGTCAGGGGGGGAGTTACAGGATTCCCAGCCTCTGACCTGCTCCTGGAGCCACAGGATTGATATGGGGCTGGGTCCGGTTCAGTTTCTGCTCAATGGGAACCCCCAGGAAATTGATAGTAGGGGGGTAGGGGTTTCAGTGATAGGAATGCCATTGAATGACAAGGAGATGATGGTCAGAATGTGTCTTTTTTTTGGAGATGGTCACTGCCTGGCAGTCGTGTGGCACAAATATTACTTCCCACTTGTCAGCCCAAACCTCGATATTGTCCAGGTCTTGTTGCATTTGAACATGGCCTGTTTCAGTATCTGAGGAGTCACAAGCACTGCTGAACATTGTAAAATCATCAACAAACTTTCCCATTTCTGACCTTATGATGGAGGGAAGGTCATTGACAAAGCAACTGAAGATGGTTGGGCCTAGGACACTCCCCTGAGGAACTCCTGCAGAGATGTCCTGAGGCTGAGATGACTGATCTCCAACAACCAGGACCACCTTCCCATGTCACTTTTCCCTGCAACCGCAGGAAGTGCTACACCTGCCCCCATACCT